TGGCAGAGGAGTATGAAGGAGATCACGAAACGCTTGGGTGCTGTCGGTGCTACTCGCCTTCCAGGATGGGGACCGCGTGATCCTCACTGTGCCTGGTTGGAGACACTACAAGATATGGCTGCCAACCGATGTCAGTGGCGTCCTTGTTGTCAGTTTCTGTCCAGATTGCCTGAGTGAATGTCTGGAGGTGTAGGCACCTCGGAATGATTGTGTTAAGCTAGCACTAAGTCCCTCCCCCATCCACCTTTATTCTTTTCTTTACAATAAGGCTTTCCAATAAGTCATGGTTGTACGGCAGTGAAGCATTGGTGCTGAGCACTGATGTCATGGTTGATTTGATGATGATGATGACGATGTGCCACCAGAAAAAAGCACTAGGGCTGGGACACTCCTCGGTTACCCAGGCATAGATAGGTTGAGATGCATGTCATGCTATCGTTGATGATGATGATGACGATGTGCCACCAGAAAAAAGCACTAGGGCTGGGACACTCCTCGGTTACCCAGGCATAGATAGGGGAAGTTGAGATGCAGAGTTCGGGTCCAGTGGTTCGGTGTGTGCAATACATGGCCTAAACTACGGAGCTTCTGGTGCTGAGTGCATTCTTCGATGGAAGTCGGTTGTTCAACTGAACACTTTCTAACTTCATCGTTACTGATTCGCTTACACTAGCCTACAGAAGCTAGGTTTCTGAGGCAACGGTGGTCGGAGACTTGAAGGTATCTCAGTTCCGCATCCCAGTGTGAATTCACATCTGATAGTGGGGCAGTTGGAGGAGACTCCATAAGATGATTCTGACAAATTTGTGTAATATCTGGACGCTCCAGTCTCTCAGTTACCAAGCGATTTATCCCCACCTTACGCGGCCCTGGAAAACAGAGGGAGCAGTGACTCCAGGCGAGCTCGTTTCCAGCATCCACGATTGTGTCCCAGTCAGTTACTCATCCGCGCCATTGGTAACTGATGGCGATTTGGTCAATTTGAGTTGGTAGCCGGCCCCTTGTTGGTGGACGCGATGTTGCCAGACGAGTTCGGCTGTCTGGGAGTTTAGTATTGTGTAAACACATCCTGCAGCTGAAAGTTCGTTCACTGTTGTACGTACGTACCGAATCCAATCCATGTCGACAGGGATGAGATGGCTCAAGTGGTTAGAGCGCGAATTTACTTAACGGAAGTTCCGTTGTTCGAACCCGACCTCTGCTTCTCGAATTCCCCTGCTAGGTTTGGGGTAACCTGGAAGTACCCAGCCCTCCGGCCCTCGTGCTTCCTTCGGTTGGTATGGCAGCTAGGCACAGGAAGGGCGTTACATTTGAACGGCTTTTCTTCATGTCGACCAACTAATCCAGTCTCAGATATGCACTCCGGCAACCTTAACGATGTATGAGCTCTTAGCTCGCCGCAGCAAGGCATCCAGGGTGTCGTAAAAACTTATCCTTGGTGGTGCCAGAGCTATAGTCGGTTGGAGCGTAACCATACACAAAAAACACACTGGTCAACTTCCAACTGGTGAGACACCTTCACAAATGTTACCAACCGAGCCGCTTAGAGGCGATTATCAACAAGTACGCAGTCAAGCAAGGATGCTCTCGCCTGGTTACTTAGGACGATACCACGATAACACAGACGGTGCTTGCAAAACCGGTGAAGGACCTTCACACTTTCCCATCAGTTGTCATACAGGTGCTTAAGGAGTGTCAACAATTTACCGGGACACCTTCAGGGGCACTAAGCACCGATTCCCCCCAACTCTTTGGGTGGGTATCGTTTTCCAAATTGTAGGTAAACAGACAAGCGCCGACTAGGGAATTCAACCCCACTCGTTCTCAATGCGGGTGGGATATCACTCGGACCGGAAGCTGAGCGGCGCCTAAGAGTAGGTATGTTATCATAAACCTCTGTAATCGTATGTGGTTCCGTGTTCCGTTCAGCTGCAGGATCCAAATGAGTGACAGCGGGTGGTTACGAGAGTTGCTTAAAGTGCTCGACCCAGCGGTTGTGCACCTGTTCTTGTTTATTCAAGATGGTCGCACCACCTCCAATAAATGTACAATTATGCTTTTGTCTTCCCCAACTTTCTGGACTACGAAATATCGCTTCCGTGCCACTCCCTTGTTCAAGGTGACAGACCAATAAGGAATAACAGTATCGCACTTTATCACCTCAGCTTTCGATGATTTGTCCACCTGTACCCGTAGAGGTAATTATTACGGAGAGTTATTTCGGCCAATGGATGCTATACAATCAACAACAAAAATCTAAGGTTGAGATTTGTCGGTTTCTCCTTGGAGAGAAACCAACAAAGTAGAAGGATTGGGTTCGGTACTTCCATGGAACTTCCAGTCGTGAGATTGTGCCTTAACCTCAATCACGACAGTCAAGCACCAGTATATGTTGCTGTCAGCGGTAATGGTTATTAAACTATCTTGAGTTACTCATGGAAACAGTCCCGACGAAGCACGTAAATGCTCTGGTATCGTGCCTAGGGAGGGTGAATTCATCAACTCCCCTCGTCCCAAATAACATAATAGAGAGCTAATCACTTCAGGTTCAATTTAATGTATTCAATCTACTATTTGCTTGAATGCAGTCGCTCTAATCGGAAGAATTCGAATCTTGAATACACGCCTGTACGTTTTTATTCGCTTTTCAGGCATCCCGTGAACATTTATCTTCTGATGGGGAATCAGATCGCCGGTCTTACTCCACCACCGGTTATTAGTGCGGAAGAATGTCTTTCAGATATTTCCGGCCTTGTGCGTGTCGAGGAGGAGTTGTTTGGTTCTCGTCTGTTCAAGGTGGCCAAAGCCAGGTAAGTGAGCTTACTCCGTGCCATGCAGATGGGCGAATGTGGTTAGGACTCTGGAACGCACTTTCGTCTTTCGTGCGGCAACGGGGAATAGAACTAGAAGTGAACCATACCCTACGGCCCTAATATTAGAAGACATTTCACAATATCTCTAGAATTTTCACTCATGTCTCTGTCTATTATGTTCACAGACGTGTGGACGATGGAAGCTCGCAGTTGGTCGTAATCAAGACGTTCCCCAGTACCCGAGCAACCCAACTTCTGTCAGATTATCGCCCTCTGATCAAGGCATATTGTCGTCAAATTACCTCCGGCTTCAATCTTCTATACTTCCATGTGTAAGTTGTCTAATTTGTCTTTAAAGGAACAACAAGCGGAATGACAACAGTGTTGGACTAGCTTGTATGAATCATGCACGTTTCAAGAGTTTCATCCCACCTTTTAGGGTCGTATGATTAGTTTTGCTTTGGACAACTGCACCAATGGTACCTTGGCAGTTAGGCTCAGTAAGAGAATATGTAAGATAGTACAATTTCTCTATGTTGTTTATCTTACTCCCGAAGGATAGCGGGGAGTATCAAGCTTCATAGGTATGAATTCGCTGCCACCTATAAGCTAAGTTGATGACTGACTATCACGCATGGCCAGACATTTTATACTTTACGGACATTTCATGCTTTATGGATACTCTGCTGACAGCGCAAGGTGAAACATCTATGTAGCCGTTTTATGAGTTTAGTTTGTATCGCTTTCGTGGGACAAGCTGATCGACCGAACGGCGAGAGGCATGAAAGTGCGCCAAATAGAACTATCTTATCTGTATGAAAAGCTCTCTTTCTGAATTGATATGTAATGCTTCGAAAGCACTTCTGGTCAGGTCGTACTAGCTTCGCCTCTCTACCAAAATTAAGATTTGGCTTACCTGATTATGTACTCGGAATAGCCATACTTTATATTACTCTGGCTCATCTCTTCTCCTAGCCGTTCTACACAACTTGTCCCATTGACATGGTGATTTCTGACGGGGTCTCCTTGTCTGGTAATTACCCTGACAATGTACCTGCCCCATGCGTTCTCATATCATTCATGCGAACTTCTCTGCGCTGTCTACACTTTGTGTTGATTCCCCTCGGCTGGCAAAATTACATAACAAATTAACGCTCGACGTAATGTCTAAAATACATGTATTGAACACTAGCTGTCACTTAAGTCTTGAAAAAGCGGCAGCCACAATTCACAGCGCTCTCCTTATGGGTGCACTGAACTTTCGGCAGTAATTTCCACTATTCACAGCTCCGCTTTCTCAATTCAAGAAACCAGTGACCTGTGTTGATCAAACTTCGTCAACTGAGTTTCTTCGTAACGGTTCGGTCGTTGCTTTGTATATAATCCGCGTTAGTTCTGACAGCACTTTGTAAACTCCGGTGCGATTTTTGATACTTTTGGAAATACCGTCACTTAACACCTGCATGTGCTGTTCCAGTAGCCTCGCTGTCGAACATATTTACTCCTCAGTATAGCCATCATTTTAAGCTCAAGACAACTCGGTGATTAAAGCGCTGAATTGCTAATCAAAAGGTCCGTATTTTGATCTCAAACCTGGCTTTTTGTTTATTCCAGCTGCGCAGCCTGGCGCCCATGTGTATCCTTCGAGCTGCATGGTCTCTATGAACTGAAAGAGTATTGCAGCTAGGTTCACTTTTCGTTCTTTCATGCTTAACAAATCCCGTCCCTTCGCTTACCCCCCCCCCCTCACGTTTTGTAGCAGAGTATCTCCGGCGGAGCGAAATATTCTTCTCTTCCGAGATTACGTTGACCAAACCCTCGTTGATCGACTGTCTACTCGTCCTTTCCTATGTCTGGAGGAGAAGAAATGGATCGCATTTCAGTTGCTTCAGGCTGTGGCGCAATTACATCGCGTTCCAGGACCCAGTTCAATGAATAAGCCGGATGAACAAGAGGGGAATCCAACTGAAGTGAGAATCATTGCCAAATACATAAAGGGTTGTGCTTTGCTTAGACTTTTTGTACGCGAATCCGTGTGTGTGTGTGTTCAAGTTTGATCAGCTGACATTTGCATACTGCAGTGACCCGTCCAAAAAGACATCTTGCTCGCTCCCTTTATGAGTAGAGTAGGATCTGGTCGTTGGTCATAACAATTGTGCCGTTCAGTTCGTGTCACCAGAAAGTGGCTTCTGGTCTGGACTGTAACACACTACTTACTACGGACTCTCCAACTAGAATCCGCTCGTCTGAATAATAAAAACGTCATACGGCTGACAGAAAGACCGATGGATTTTCTCTTTTTGTCATGTAGTGTTGGAATTCCGAGAAGTTGCGACTGTCACTCTGTCTCTGGGACGTTTTCTCCACTTATTTCGGCTGTACCTCGTTTCCAGAGGTGAGGTGCAATCAATCGATTTGGACACAGCAAGTTAGAGGATACATCAAGTACACAAGGGAGGATACTTTCAAATATGGAAAAGGACAGCGTGCATGCTGTAAAATATCTACAGAATGGGGAAGAGTGTGAAGACCAGTAGACTTAATCCCGAATTCCCTCCATCCTTGATGACGACATCGTAACTCACAACCGCCATCCATCGACGCTATTAGATGTTACCAACGAACAGCTATTTAATGCTTTCGCTATACGGCATGAAACATCCAGAGACAGCTGAAATGATGGCACTTAAAACAAATAGATGCTTCGTGTGCCTAACTTGATTTGCTGTCGTCGGTCTTTTTTGTTTAATCTGTTCTGTACTTAACAACGATACGGGCAATTTTTTGACGCACAAACCAGCCTGTGCAAGTCTGTGGATAGCTTTGGTAAAAAGTGATACACAGCTTTAGCCTCGGTTGTGTTTTTTATTTGTGTGGACCAGTTGGGTAGAAGTGATATCTTCAACCGAGATTTCATCCTACTGGTTAAATCAGTCGATGTAAAAAATTTGCTAGCCACTGTGTAACTGCTTCATCCTTGTTGGGACTCATTGTCAGTGCGGACCCCATGACCCTCCATGAATATTCGAACCCATCGTTCTTCAAACAAGTGTTCTCCTCTGCCTCCGCGATTATTTGTACCACCCTCATCAGGTTAGTTTGGAAATGAAGCTCAGCTCGTGATTGAATATTCTTCACAGCGTACTGATGGCATCTCTTCTATTGCAGTTTATACGTTTACAACAAAGTGGCCATGTTCTGTAAACAGTCGGACCATTATCTGCTTAATCTGAAGCATCAACATTTTCCCATATACAAAGACCAGAAATCTTACGAGCTGCATGATGAATTTGAAGAAAATGTAAAAAAATAGCCGTTATTATTCAGAGGCGGAATCAGCTCTTTGCTGATCTGAGTCAGTCTTACGAAATGAACATGTACTGGACAGATGTTGATCACACTGACTCCTCACTGTTACAGGCCATCACGTGAGCTCTCCGATAATGGGGTCAGATGCTTTCTTCTGTGTTATGAGAACTGGGGTTGTACTCACCAATCCACATCGGTAACCATCTTTTTACTCCCATATTATTCAACAATTCGGACAGTCGGATGTTAATAAAAATAATAGCCGTTGAGCTGTAGCACCCTTTCGGTGCCTAGCTGCCACGCCACCCGAAGGAGGCCCGACGGCTGGGATACTGCCAAGTCTCCCAAACCTAGACAGAGGTCGGGTTTGCACCACGGACCAGTAAATTCGCGCTCTAACCACCTGGTCCATCGCGAGCTTATCTGTCTGTCTACGGGTCACTTTCACCATAACTTATCAGATTACGACAACCGTAGTGGGACGTTTGTTGTACCAAACCGACCATTAGTAGCCGACAGTCGGTCGTCTATATTCGCATTCTCATCTGGATCTGTCTGCCTCGCTCTCATTTTCAGACTGAGTGTCACAGAAATAGGTTGGGAGTCTCATCTATTTCTTCTAACTACAGGTATTGTGCCATGGTGATATCAAAGCCGAAAACGTTCTGCTTACTTCATGGGGATGGGTTCTACTCTCCGACCCGGCTCCTTTCAAGCCGTGCTGGCTGCCAGCCGATAATCCCAGCGAATTCACGCATTATTTCGACTCCACTCGGCGACGAGTCTGCTATCTGGCTCCGGAACGTTTTATACAACTCCAACCCAATCCTGGTTTGTTGGACCCGACTCAAAAATGCGTTGAATCTCTCACTATGCTTCCAAACGGACAGGCTGTGATTTTGGATAGTGATTCGAATGAGGACGGACTGGTAAGTTTATAACCAACATTGGTTCGCCTAAATAACCCCATGGTTTTAACAAGAACACACTGACGGATATTAATGTTTTCGGGATCTCGTCATCAGGTCAGTACATATCTAATAGTTAAAATAGGAGCGGAAAATGATATACGCAGCGGAGATTGGTTAATCAAGTGCTAAACATGGACATGCGAACGATTGGTTGTCTGCATCCCTACATCGCATCTAGTTGGATGCTGTGAGACAGTCTGTAGGGCCGTTGAGTAACTTGGCTACTTGATTCGTGTCACACGGTTAAGGCAGACTCAGCGTTCGTACGAAACGCTTTTGGCAGCACAGTACCGGGTTTCGCAGGCGCATAACGACTGCCTGGGCTGTAGTCAAACGACGCCGTTGGATAGACACTGGCAATCTATTGGGCACGCGGTAAATGAAATGAAATGGCTCATTCGGAATGACTGTTCCCGGTTTAATTAATTGGGACGCAATTGAGCATTTGACTGAACTGTTAAGTCTGATGGTATTCCGGTAAGAGGTGCTCATGTATTCTCTTAGAAAGTTGCCGTGTCGTGCTCCCAGCATACTCCGCTGGATAACAGCAGGAGAAGAAATACACAACCATATTCTGAGTGAGGTCTGGCATCTTGTCTTTGAGGTTTTAGCTGAGCAAAGGGTTGGTTGTAACCCAAGACCGCAGAGTTGCAGCCGGAAAATTGAGTTGTAGAGATTGAAACAAGCGGCGATTGACAGTGTCCAACTAACAACATTGTTCCTCCGCATCTGAGTTATTATTAATTTGTTTGGTAGTAGATTCTGCGTTGTGACGCCACACGCTTAGGCATGAGTCTTTTTACCCTCAGAGTGCCAGACGCTGTCGCAAGATTGAGGTTGAATACCACCAAACCCATTCGCGATATCCAAACCGCTAGAGGTCGTACACAGATTTACTTAGCTGGACAGTTGCATGATGTCGAGTGACAGCATCTCTAGCACAATAAGTGCCTAACTCACTCAGCTTTCTTCTAACCTAGGTACCCATGAGGTTAGAGTGAAATCAGACAAGGTCCTAAACGCGACAGTTTAGGCTTGCGGCTATGGAGTCAGGTCACTTTGCGTTGAAGACGAAGGAAAATGGTCTGTGTCTAATCATCGGTGTTCATGTCTCATGGAAACACTGGGTGATCAATGCTGCAGTCCGGCAGGTGGTTTGCAGCAACAAATAAACTGGCTGTCCACTTGATTCGATCACGCCAACTATATTGGCTCAATCTTGTGATTCATATGTCAAGAGATCGATTGCCAACCATGCCCTGTTTTCTGTTTTCTGTTCCGACTGAAAGGTATCGCGAAGTGAGTAGTGCATGTTTTGGAGACGGAGCACGAAAAACCCAGCAATTTATCTTAACGGTATTGGTACATGTCGTCTGCGAAGCTGAGGCATTATGTATCCAATACATCAACTTTTGGAGGTTCTCATCCATATGAGTCCAACGTGTTTGTTCTCCTATTCCCGACCAACCGCCTACATTTTTGTTTGTTTTCTACACCCACGGCACATGCGCGCGCCACTCTTGGTTATTGAACTGAACTGGGCAGTAACGCATCCTTTACTATTTTTCTAAGACAGCTCAGTTGGCTTTGCGCTGAACGTCTGCAAGACACTGATTTATGTCTGTTGTGAGTGCGCACAAATGCGTCTCCCGAATCCGGATTGGGGCTCGAAAAGTCAACTTGTATACTTGGACTCTGCCTTTCACACTGCTACTGCAAAAAGGTGCCTCATCACTGCGTCACCACGTGTCAGCCACCGCTAATCGTTATTTGAAATGAATCCACTATCTTTCCTTCCGCGTTACTTCCAACACTTTGGTGAATTGGCATACCTACTAAAGCATATACCGACCAGATCAACTGTGCTGTCTCTGGGAAAGTCGTGGCTCTCTCCCAATATTACAAGACAGGTTTTGCGAGATTTCAGGAAATATGAGTGCGAGGAATTATTTCAAAACAGCTAGGATGGATCGGCCCCCCCCGGGTTGGGGAATTTACCCAGTGAATTCACTCAG